GGGGGGGGGAAGGGGGGGGGGGGGGGGGCATGGACGAACACTTGACCAACAAAAGCGCGTACAAATGTAGCATCAGCAGCAGGCACCAAGACGCGCGCCGCGACAGCCCGCCGTGTTTGTGGGAGGGATCGACGGGGTACGGGGTCTGAAGCTTATAACCAATCTCGGCATGAATGTGTAAGCAAGGTGAAACGGGGGCTTTCAAACCACACATTATTAGCACATGAGAACGTGCCAAATTCGACGTTCCGTGATTGCGAGATTGACTCCCGCTTCATTTTGTCGCGCGACAACGCCGGAATTCATCCACGTCGTACCGGTGGTTTACAAGGGTGCACACCACTAACACACATGGCCAACACAAGAGTGCACACTCCAAAAACACACCACCAACAAAAAAACAAAACACATACAGCTGCAGCTGTCGGTACTTGCCGAAATGGCGCCCACAAGCAATCAAAGCAAAAGACACACACGCTCTGCCCCTCAAAAATTGAAAAATAATCGACAACAAGAGGGGCAAGAAAAGAGCATGCGCTAGTGATTATCGTCGGCCTACGTGATACAAGGTGATACAAGAGAGAATACTCCCCGCTGGACCGGTATCCAAAGCTCGATTACTCCATGACAGAGACGACCCAACACAAGACAAGATTCGTTTTCGGAAAGCTGTCGACGAGACAGTTTCAACGCTGCCATTATCGGCACCGCCATTCTCTCTGCTGTACAAGAGTGAATCGATCTTTGAAAATCGGCCAACGATGATGTGATATCTCATGTCACCACCAATCATACCGCAGAACATGTGCTATTACAATATATAGCGTACCTCGTGCGCCACGAGATGCTTCACCCACAACCCGCGTACCACGTCGTAGCGACGCTGGTCCAAGTACAAGGGCCTCCCCCTGAAGCTGTGCCGCTGCCGCTCCCCGTAGGCGTCCACGTACGGGGAAGGGAAGTAGGCCGCTCGTCGGCCGTGCATGAGGAGGACCGCGCATTCCTGTTGTGATTTTTTCGGCCATGATTATTCGGTGCCGGCGTTGATGCGTGCAAAATTACAATTCACAGGGAGGGGTCCGTAGTATGAGAGAAGAGAGGGACAGACAGACAGACAGACAGACAGACAGAGAAGAGAGGGGAGAGAACGAAATAGACAGAGCAACAGAGATAGAGAGAGAGAGAGAGAGAGAGAGAGAGTCACACCACCACAAACAAACGGCAATACAAGGCACACCAAACATAACGGTTTGTCTGTACACGCACGATCGACTGACCATATGGTGCGGTCGACGCTCACTAACACAACACACAACTATCATGCTTTCTCTTCATGGTTCTCACTCTCTGTGTGTGTGTGTGTGTGTCTCCCTCTCTCTCCCTCGTCTCTGTGGGTACCACTTTTCTCGTCTCCGTGCTACATGCAGCTTCCCGGTTCTCGCTCCGGGCCAGATCCCCCCCCCCCCCCCCCCCCC